GAATGAGATAAAAGTTTTTTCTATCTTTTTGATTTTTTTTTCCCTTTTGGGGTCTCCTCCCTAGTGGAAAACAGCCATATTTTAAAAAAAAAATTTTTGCACAGGGGGGTATGGATTTTTAGTTATTATTGGAAATATGGTGTCTTTGGGTTTTTAAAATTTATCAGTAAATTTAGTTTTTGTTAAATTAGTCTGTTACAGACATTTAGTATTAACATCCCTTGAATGAATGTATAGTAATGTGTGTTCAGGTACATGATGTATACCTGGAGTTTACTGGGAATTTCCCGGGGGGTAAACGCCCCCGGGGCCCCGGTCTGTCCCCGGGCCCTCCTGATGGATCAGAGCCCTGATAAAACCAGGCTTTGCTGCTGGCGCACGCAAACAAAAGTACGAGCCCCACCCGGGCTGATCGGGAACTGATTTGGTGCTTTTTCAAAAAACATTCTATTTTCAGATTAGTTAAAAATTTGCTTTGGGATTAAGACAACAGTTCTTAAACTATTTTTTAATTTTAATTCGGTGTTTTTTTCCAGCAAGTAGGTAATGAGTTATGGGGTTGGTTAACATGTTTATTTTTTCAGGGAAAGCCCATCCCAAGTACAAATTTTTTAAAAATGCATTTTTGCGGGACAGGGGTGACATGTAAAAGAACTAGGAAAAATTGTCAGTGATGTATTATTGAAGCACAGATCATATGTATCTTGGCGAGGAGAATGAAAAAAAGAAAGGGAAAAAAATGTTTTATTTTGTTTGGAAAAGCTGTAGTTTAAAATGAGTAAGACATCATGGATGAAACTTGGCTTGACCAAGCTGAATACTAAAAAAAAAAAAGAACTTTTGAAATTTTTGTAATTCAAAGGTGAAATGTGATTAGGTAAATAATAAAAAAAAACCTAGGGGAAAAGTGTTTAAAATTTATGCCGCAAAAATAGACATGTTAGTGGGAGACAGCCGATTGAAAAAAAAAAAAAGAAAAAATTTTTTTTTTTATTGTTGGCTTGTCATTTTGAGATTCTATTGTTGATGTAATGTAATTTTTAATATTGTACTTTTGTTTTCCTTTACTTTCGCCATTGAGTATAAGCGAGTTCTAGACTAAAAAATTGAAAATGTTCAGAATTTCGTGGATTCATTTGTATAGGGGTTTAGCACACCCCAGACCCTTCCTGAATGTCTGTAAAAAAAAAAATGTTTAAATTTAGATTTAATTTTTATATTTTTTTTAAAAATGTAAGACTTTTTTCCGATTTGCCCCCTGCGCTCCAGCATCTGTAAATTTCTGTGCTTTTAAAATTTCATGTTTTTAATATACTTTTAATGCTCTTAATATGTTTTTTGTCCTTTTGTATTCTATAATACCCTTATTTAAACTCATTTTTTTTAGGGGTTTTGTTTTGGGGGGGGTAAAGAAAAAAAAGGAAGATTAAAGGCATCAAAAAGGTTTGGATATAATGTAATGTAGACTAGTGGGCCGCAGCATAGTGCAGCATCACACAATAAAAGTGGCAGCAGCAGCAGCAGTTGCAGCAAAAACAGCGCGGCGCGGCGGGAGCAGCGCGCAGCGGTAGTTCCCCCCCCAGGAACCCCCCCACGTGCAGATGGTTCCCATGAGAGCTGAAATTTAGAATCAAAAAACAAGTCCCCCAATTCCCAAAATTTGGGCATGATTGGTGAGAAATAAAAAATATACATATGGTAGTTGATACTGCATTACAAAATCCTCTTATCTTACACGTAATTTTTTTTTGTATGCTCAAAAAATGAAACCAAAATACTGTCATATTTGCCCCTTTGTTTTCTTATGTCTAGTTTACTGAGGGTCTGGAAAATCCTTGGGTTATTGTTTAAACATTACTAAAACATTTAAATTTAAATGACAGTTTAATCTGGAATTTTTGAAATTGTGTATTGTAAATAGGTTTTTATTTCTGTTGCAGGTTTTTCTTTTTGGTAAATTTTTTATTTTTAATATCACATTTTGTTGGCAAAATTTAAGATAAAGAACATGCTTAGCAATTGGATTTTGGTTTGCAAATGTATTGAAGATTCTTTTTTTTTATCATCAGGGGTTCCCCCAAGGTAGGGTAATCAAAAAAAAGGAATTTTTCACCATCATTAACAATGCTGTATTGAAGAAGTTTTGCAGACATCCGATTCGTTTACCTACCAAACAGTAACATCCCAACTTTTTAATCGAGGGGAGGGACTTTACTTCCCACCCCAGAATCAAATCCAGTAAAGTATTTCCCGAAACCCCCTTAAATTTAATTCCTTGTCAACCCAACCGCAAAACCCCAAAAAACCCAAATTTTCTCCCCTCCAATCTAACACGCTCACACATGCCTACTAGATGCTCAAGCCTCTCTCCCTTTAAAACCCTTTTTTCCCCTTATTTCCCAAACTTTCCTGGGGACCCTATGCTGTCTTCCTTGCCAAGATTTTGATTTTTTTAAAAATGTTCATTGTAAAAAATTTTTAAAAAAGAAAAAGAAATAATGGGGGAAAAAAAATTTTTGTTTTTTTTTTTTTTTTTTTGGGGGTGTTAAATCAACTTTTTTTTGAAAGCTTTAAACCAAATTCGGGGAGAAAAGGGTTTTAACCCCCCCCCCTTTTTTTTTGTTAGATTGTCGAGGAGCATTTTTTTTTTTTTTTTTGGTTTTTTTTTTTTTGTTTTTGGTTGGGGGGGAGAAGAGTAAACCTTCTCTGTAATTTTTTCAGATTGTGAGGATTTGGTGAAGGGGAGCTTAAATTTAAGATTTTTTTAAAATGGTTTTATTTTTATTGACCTACAGTAAAAATTTTTAATTCCCCTTTAAAAATGGAATTTTTTTGCTTTTTAAAAAAAAAAAAGGGAAACTTATATTAATTGGTATATAGACTTTTAAAAAAAGATTTGCCTAAAAAGGTCTGTA